GGAGGAGATGGATTGTTTATAATAGAGTTTGTGGAGTTAGAGAAATTAATATTCGTTTACTTATATCTGAATATTAGCCTGGGATTTGGTTTGGGAAGTCCGGGGGGGTGGGATATAATATTGTGTAATAATATTGTGTAATACTGGTGTTGTTTTTTTTATGATGAAAACAATAAAAAATTTATATTGAAAAAAAAAAGAAAAAAAATATCCTGAAATGTAAAAAAATTACAAAAAAGACTTCACTTTTAAGAGCAGGACAGTTACCCCTGGGTTTCATATATTGCAATTATAACTCAATCATGCTTCAACCTTTTAAACCTATTTTCATTCACTAGAGCAGTTCTCATCATTCAGAAAGCTTGATTGCCTAAAAAAAACACCAGGCAAATTAAAGACTGGAAAAGTTTAAGATAAGAGTCAATGTCAAAGAAAAACAACCTCCCTCATAACAGCTAACAACTCCTTCACAAAGGCAATGGGGAAAGGAGCAATGCTACAGTGATTATTCTGTGCCCAATCTATTTTCAGAATGGAGGGGGGAGAAAGAGCAGAGGATGATGGTTTCAGCTCTCTCCCTGAATCTACACATTCAGAATAATAACTCTTTGTGAATTCTACCACTTCAGCATCTGGAGGTGGGATTAAGGTGCTGGCCTAAAAATCAGGAGATGTTGAGTTCTATTCCCATCTAGCCAACTTTGGGCAAGTCACTCTCTCTCAGTCCAACTCACCTCACAGGGTTGTTTGTTCTGGGGAAAATAGGAGGAGGAAGGAGTATTAGGTATATTTGCCACCTTGAGTTACTTATAAAGTAATAAAGGTAGGAAAAAAATCTAATAAATAAATAAATACATAGATCAAATTACAGTAAGGTTGTCTCCTCACTCAAGTCCTTCACCATGCTGGAAACCAGAGTTTAGAACTAACCTTTTTCTAACAGGACAATCTTTCTGGACTAAATGTTCTGATTGCAGAAATCACCTGATATATTATATCCATCTCATGTTTTGAAATGCTAGAGCTCACACAACATTGCTCCATCTCCCCAGAAAACAGCAAACCTGTTCCACAATAGTGGAACAGGACCTTCTTTTGTTGCTGTTCAAGTCTCTGTTTGTTTGCACAGTACCACACAGCTGGTGATAAAATGAATAATTTACCAAATCTATACAGTAAAACAAAATGGCACAGCATACAGGATAATTTTAAAGTATTCATTGTTAACCAACAGAAATTTTCTCTGAAGTTTTCTAATTTCCAAACCAAGGCAAAATAGATTTTCAATTCCATTTAAAATCATTTTTGCACAAAATCACAAGGATGCCTTGGTCCCTCCCATTTCTCCCCACTCATGAAGATGTAGCCAGTGGCATATGATGCCACTTCAGGATCAGGACCATAGAAAAATAATTTATCTTTAGCTTCTCTATACTTGAGCTGATTTCACTGTGTCACTTCACAATTGTGACAATGGTGTGCAGGAAAACAATTACTCCATGATGCTTTGGGGTGAATACTGCATATCAAATTCTAAAGAATCCCCCTCCCCCCCCAAAAAGAATTTGAAGCTATCTTCATTTTCAACTATAGTAGTAATGAGTAAAATCTGGGGGGGAAATCCCTAATTTTTCATTTCAAAAACTACATATCCTTTTCCCCTGTTGCTCCTTGTCACATTGCAAAAGTACTGATTTATAACTGGCTTCTCTGCTAAAGTTACTCAGTTAACATTAGTAAATAAGAATTTGAAAAGAAAATCTGAAGCAGGGCTCTACAGGTTCCCAACTGAGACATCATATATCAAAGTAATTTTTTCAGTGCTCAAAATAATTATTGAGACATTTAATCTTTCTAAATGAAAAAAAAGCCTCCTCTTTCAAAAAAATGCAAATGATCAAACAATATAAAGCTACTATCCATAACAAAACCTATTATGAAAACAAGCAATAGTAACAGCAGGGGCACTTTTGTCTATTCATTTTTAGATTTACACATTTAGATGTATTGTACAAGGAAAGGGTTTTTTTTCAGAATCAACAATTGCCAGAATTGGTGTACTGATTCCAATTTACTGGATGCAACCTCTGTTTGGGACTTTTGACAAACAAGCAAAAACAGCGAAGTTATTGTTTTCATTGATTTATTTTGCCAACTCAATCATAGACTTTTGAGGCAAAGGAATTTTTCACAAAATATATATCTGAAAAATTCTATCCCTCGTTTTCAAAACAACACCCAGAGAGATCTCTGGATCACAAATGCATCCCTCCTAAAATATCCATAAAATTTTCTAGGGACAAGGTAGGGGAGCAGAGAATAAGGCCTGTTCACTAATTGCCAACTTCATCAATTGTGGATTTTTTAATGTACTTGCTGTAACAGCAACTTATAAGGAATTAAGCGACCACACAATCTTTTTAATAATTGGAATGAAGGTTCTGGTTGATCGATTACGGAATTCATTCAGAGTCACAGGATCAGGAAGCAGACAAGGCAATATCAGTTATCCCTAAATGAGCAAGTCATGTCACATTTTCCCCAAACAGGGACACGCGCGCACCCACGAAAAGGACCTTGAGCTATTCATTCCCCCAACCCCGCGCCCTCCCCGCTACGCCCACTCTCCTGCAAAGCGGGTCTTTCGACTGCCCTACGCCCCACGGAGCAGAGCCTTTCGGGGCGCTTCCAGCCCATCCG